CCAAGCAAATGGACCTAAGAAGCAAGCTGGTATAGCCATTTGAATATCTGACAAAATAGACTTAAAAGCAAAACTAATCAGAAGAGATAGGGAAAAACACTTATATACTCATCAAAGGAATTATTTGTAATTGCCAGAACCTGAAAGCAACCTAGATGCCCCTCAACTGAAGAATGGATAGAGAAAATGTGGTACATTTATACAATGGAGTACTACTCAGTGGGTGGGGTCGGGGACACAATGGAATCTTGAAATTTGTATGCTAATGGATGGAACTAGAAGAAGCCATTCTGATCGCGGTAACCCAGTCACAAAAAGACAAACATGTCTTCATCCAGCAGCTGGTGGAAGTAGAAGCAGACACCCACAGCTAAACCTTGAACTGAATTGGAATCCAGTTCAGAGAAGCAGGAATAATGAGCAAAGGGGTCCAGACCAGGCTGGTGAAACCCACAGAAACAGCTGACCTGAACAAGAGAGAGCTCTTGGTCCCCAGACTGATAGCTGGGAAACCAGCATGGGACTGATCCAGACTCCATGAAAATGGGTGTCAGTGAAGCTACCTCGGAAATCTATGGGGCCTCTTGTAGTAAGTAGATCAGTACTTATTCCTAGCATAGGAATGGACTTTGGGAGTTCATCCCACATGAAGGGATACTCCCTGAGCCTAGACAAAAGGGGGTGGGCCTCGGTCCTATTCCAAAGGCTATGACAGACTCTGAGGACCCCCTATGGAAGACCTCACCCTCCCTGAGGAGCAGAAACGGTATAGGATAGGTAGGGTGTTAGTTGGGGGGAGGGGCAGGGGAGGAGGTAAGGGAGAAGCAACTGGGATTGACATGTAAAATAATCTTTATAATTCAAATAAAAATATTAAAAAATCTATCAAGAAGACATTTCAATTCTCATCTATTCCCTAAAAGGAAGAGCAACCAGGTTCATTAAAAAAAAATTACAATACTACAACTAAAAGCACATATTGACCCTCACAAAATTATAGTGGGTTGATGGGGGAAGTACTTCTGTGTATGTTTATCTTATTGATTGTTAAATCAAATACTGTTTGGCCAATGAGACAGCAAGTTAGACGGGACTAGGAGTCAAAGAGGATTCTGGGAAATGTAGTAGAGAAGTGGTGATCCAGGCAGGAAGTGACATAGCAAGGAGACTCATATTTAAAGAAGGAGAAACAGGAAGCATCCCCTTTTTTCCCCTCTTCTCCTGCTCCAGCAACACAATGTGATCCACCGGCAAGGAGGGACACCAATAAGGTATCCGATAAGATAAGTCTTATAAAATATTGGGCGGGCAGCTGGCGTAAAGCTCACACATGGCTGTGGGGCTCAGGCAGCTTTTGGCAAAAAGATTTAACGTGACAGTGGGTGACCTCAATACCTGACTCTTGCCAATATACAGGTCATAA